TGAAGACTAATGTAGGAAGATTTCTGCAGACCCAATGGGTTTGCAGGGCTCTGTGTAGTATCTCATGGGTATCCAGAGTACTGAGAATAACAGATAGATCCTTAACTGTTGCTGCTTAACCAGGCAAAGGACTGGCAGAGACTATGTCCAACACACAGGCACAATGCAGGGTGGAGAATCTGATGCACCCATAGTAGAAGCAGTGAGCCTGGTGCTGAATGGACATTGCCACAGTCCAGGTGTACCAGGCAGAGATTCACATGCACTTGGAGCACAGGTTGCCTAGGGACTCCAGAAAAAATGGCAGCCATCAAGAAATCAATCAGTACCAAATGATGGTCAGGCAGTGGGGAAAAAAGGACCCCTCTCCACTGTTAATGGAAGTATAAATTGGTACAACCAATATGGAAATCAGTATGGAGATTCCTCAAATAAATAAAAGTAGAGGTTCCATTTGACTCAGGTTTTCCTCTTCTAGGTATTTTCCCAAAAGCGTTAGAAGCATAATACCATAGTGATATGTGTACACCTATGATTATAGCAACACAATTTATAACAGCCCATATGCCCATCAACAGGTGGATAAAGAAAATGTGGTCCTCATATTAAAATGGATTACTATTCTGCCTGAAAGGCAAACCTGAGACATTTTTTATGTAACTGAATGCATCTCAAGCCCATGTTGAGTGAAATAACTCAGACACACAAATTTAAATATTGCATTATTACTCTAATTCACTTTATACTTGATTCATAATTACAAGATAGACTTTTGGGGTTTTTTTCCTGCTAGTGATGTATACAATTTGTTATGTCTCTTGTCTTGCTTTATGTACCCCCAGTGCCTTATGTCATGATAAGTGGGTGAATCTAGATTGTGTGGTGCTAGGATTAAAGGTGTGTGGTTACTAAACTACTGCATGTGATCAATTGGTTTGGCACCACCCTAATCCTGGTAGTCTGAATAAAAGGAGAAGAAAGATACTGTTAAAGTCCCTTGTTGCTTTTGCTACCATGTAGGCACCATGAACTGTTTCTTCTCTGTGTGCCCCTCTGTTGTAAGATCCTTTGTTTTGGTGTTTTCCATCACTTTGATCTGTTGCCCCTCTGCCACTTTGCCTTGGAGACAGCCAATTATATACCTCTAAAAACTGTAAGAGTCAGGTATTTTGTCTCAGCAATAATAAAAAAGTAACTAACACACCATTCTGCACTATCTTATTAATTCTAGTAGTTATTTGTTGGTTTTTTTAACTTTTCCAACACACAACATGGTTTATGACAGTGAAGACATTTTTTATGTGTTTCATCTTCCCAGGACATAGATTTTCTTTCTTCCTTGTGTTTTTCTGAATCCATTGATACAATTTTAAGATTTTTGTTTTTAAATTTTATAAGTGTACTGTGACATTAATTATTCAGTAATTCAATTTACGTACTGTTAATAAAGATAGTATTGTTTTAATTTGTATTTTACTAATGACCAGAAATGTTGAATATTTTTTCATATTTGTTGGCCATTTGGATTTCTTCCTATGAGAAATGTCTCTTTTACTTCTGCATTTCCTGATTGGGTATTTTTTTTAGCTGGTCTGATTATTTTTTTCATTTTCATATTTTGTAGATATTAGTCCTCTGTCTGAGGAATGGCTGGCAAACATTATTTCCTATGCTGCATGTCTACTTAATGATTCCTGTGCTGTACCTAAGGTTTTTAATTTGATGTAATACTGTTTATTGATACTTGTTATTTCTTATTCAATTGGGGTTCTGTTTTAAAAAATTCTTTCTTACATCTATGTTTCCAGTGTTTTACCAATGTTATATTCCCATAGCTTCAGTTGTTTTGCTTTACTAATTAGATCACTGATACATTTTCATTTTTATTTACTACGTGGTGAGTAATACAACATCAATTTCAACCTTCTGCAAACAGATAACCAGTTTTCCTAATACCACTTGTTGAATAGGGCATTGAATCTGTATAGCATTTTTTAAAGTATTAGCATTTTAAATTTTTTGTATCTTTGAGACACAATCTTGCTATGCAGCTCAGGCTAGCCTTGAACTCAGTATTTACCCAAGACTGGCCTCAAACTCAGAAACCCTCCTGCTTCATCCTCCTGAGTGCTAGGATTATAGGCATGTGCTACCATGTTTTACAGTGGTGTGATCATTTTGATAGTATTGGTTTTGCCTATCAGAATCAGGACACATGTTTCTATTTTCTGAGGTGCTTCTGAATTTCCTTTCACAGAGTACTGTAGTTTTCTTTGAGGAGGTCTTTCATTTGCTTGGCTAAAATATAGTACATGTTCTTTTTTGTGTGTGTACTCTTGTGAGTGATACTGTTTTCATAGTACACTCATGAAATTCATAATGGAGTACACAAATGCTAATAGTATTTGATTTGATTTCATATCCTGCTACATTTGCTGAAATTGATTATTCTAAAAAAATTTTTGGTGGATTTCTTTGAGTTTTCTATGTAGAGTATCATGTTATCCACAAACGATGGTAATTGGAGGTCTTCCTCTCCTGTATACTTTATGTCTCTTTTCTTTCTTTCTTTTGACTGATTGTTCTGGCTAATATTTAAGTACAATTTTGTGGGGTTTTTTTCCTCATTGAGTTTATTGGTATATTTAAGGTATACAGTACAGTTACATTCATTATTGGGATCTTGTACCTTTACATGACAGGTCTTGGTTCTCATTTTTTCCCCTTGTCCCAGCCCTCCCTTCACTCCAGTTTTGAATATAATGGTCCTAGGAGACATTCTTGAATTGTTCCCAATTTTAGATGTAATGCTTTTATTTTTTTCCCATTTGATTTGATGTTGCCTGTTGGTTTGTCATAAATAGCTTTATGAAAGTTAGGTATGGTCTTTCTATACCTAATTTCTTCAGAATTCTTATCATGAAAGGGTGTATTTTATTGAATGCCTTTTTTGCATCTATTGATATAGTCACATGATTTGTGAGCTTGCTTCTATTCATGTTATATATTTATTGATAAATGTATATTGAACTGTTAAATCTCAGGGGTGAAACCTACTTGGTTATGATGTATGATATTTTTTATGGCATGCTATAATTCACTAATTTTGTTGAAGAGTTTTGCCTGTATGTTTACTAGGGAGGTTGGCCTATTGTTTTCTTTTTTTTTTTTTTCCTGGTACTCAGGATCGAACTCAAGACCTTGTGCTTGTGAGGCAGGCATGGTGCCACTGAGCTAAATCCCAGGCCCCAATGTTTTCATTTTCAGTTAAGACTTCATCAGATTTTTTGAAGCAGAATGGTCCTGGCTTCCATAAGTGAGTGTGAGAGCACTCCATCCCTTTTCCTTTTGCAGAGCTTCGGGAGAATTCCATCCTGAATCTATTGGGTGCTGAGCTTCATTTAGTGGGTATATTCTTTCTTACTATCAGCATTTCTTTGCTTGTTTTATGGTAGTTCAGCATTTTTTATGTCTCCTTGGGTTGCTTTGGTATTTGATATGAATTGAAGAATCTGTCCTTTTCTTTAAAATTTGCCAATTTGTTGAAATATTTTTCTTTTATTGAATTTATTGGTACATTTTAGGTATACAGTACAATTACATTCATTTTTGGGATCTTGTACCTTTACATGACAGGTCTTGGTTTTCATTTTTTCCCCTTGTCTGTCCCCTTCCTTCACCCCCTCCTCCCCTCCCCATTTACAAACACCTTATTTCCATTTTATCATTTTGTCATATTTTTTTTCTTTTCCTTTATTACCTTTGCCCTACCCTTCCCATTTTCCCTACACCTTTAGCCCTTTTGTTCGTATTTCACATGGTCATTTATCTCATTAGGATCTTATGTACTATTATAGTTTTTCACACCAGAGAAACTATTCAGTATTTACACATGTGTGACTTGTTTATTTCACTTAGGAGTATATCCTCAAAATGTATCCATTTTCCTATGTATAAATCTAATTTCTCATTCTTTATGGCTGAGTAGTATTCCATTTTATAGGAAAACCACATCTTTATCCAATTTCCAACTGATGGGCAAATGAGCTATTTCCAAGTTTTAGCTGTTACCAACTGTGCCACTATAAACATGGGTGCACATATATTGCTGTGGTATGATTCCTTTAATTCTTTTGGAAAGATACCCAGCAGAGGGATGGCTGGGTCAAATGGAACCTCTAGTCCCAGCTCTTTGAGGTATCTCCATATTGATTTCCACCAATCTGCACCAGTCTGCACAAGGAAACTCCAGCTTTGTGGCTTTGCTCTTATTTGTGTAACTTACATGCAGTACTATAATATGTATCAGAACAGAAAACTACAGTACTGTACTGCAAAGTACAATTAGCAAAAATTAGAGTACTGTATAACCAAGGTGTAGTGAACAGGAAAAGACATTGAAGTTCTTTCAATATGTGCAGAACTGAACAAAGAAGAATATAGGTCATAAGTCTGAGTGGTGGGTTACAAGTCAGAAACAAATTGCCTCAGTTGAAAGTCCAGGCATTAAAATAGGTAGATTGTTAAAGGAGGAATATCTATATTGGCTTCAGTGTTTCTGCCTAGGATATTCTTGAGTATTTTCTGAAGTGCTGCTTTAGCAGTTATATGTTTCTTGAGTTGGTTGTTTTCATGAAATGTCCTCATTTCTTCATGTATTTTGAAAGACAGCTTTACTGGGTAAGTTAAACTAGATTGGAAATTTTTCACTCTTAAGACTTGAAATACACTACTCCAAGTTCTTTTAGTATTTAAGGTTTGTGTTAAGAAGTCTATTGTAATTCTAACTGGTTTACCTTTATTGGAGATTTCTTTGTTTTTCTTTGCTTTAAATTTTTGTTGGGGATTTTGGATATCTGTCAGTATAAGAAGGATATGCCTTGTTGAGCTACTTTTTTCACCATAGTTTTGTTTGTTTTTTTTTTTTTGTATTTTCTAAGCGTTGTTTACTTTTTTTTCTTGTCTTTAGGTATTTATTATCAGTAAATTCTGCCTTACAGAGTGGTCAAATGGGAGCAGATGAAGAAATTGATGGCTTCGAAGGAAGATCAGCTGAAGTAGAAGAAATAAAGGTGGAAAAAGAGGCCAAAACCCAAGCTATTCTTTTAGAGATGGTAAGACAATTATCTTTGTTCAAATAGTTGTTTTGTAGCATATTTAACACAATTTATTTACTTTTGGCTTTTGTCTTCAAATAGTAAAATTTTAATGAAGAGTTTTTTTCTGGATTAAATTTTGTAGGCATAACAACACATGAGAGTAAATTTGGTGCCAGGTGTCATTTTTAAAAATGGAGAGCAGATATCTGATTCGTAAATATTAATTTCAGTTGTTAGTCATATAATTTTAAAGTATTTATTAGGCTGAATTTTATGTATATTATTGTGCTACTCGAATACTGAGGTTAAGTGGTAGAACAGGGGTTGGGGATGTAGCTCAGTGGTAGAGTGCTTAGCTTATGCAAGGACCTGTGTTAAATACCTAACTCCACTAAATAAAAAATACATATATACATAGAATAATAGTAGTTGAAGAATAAAATAAATCTAGGTGGAACATCCCTCTAAAATATGCTTTCTCTATATTACTAATAGTATGAAGTCATTTGGGAAATAATTATTGTGATATATTTTAAAATTTATATTATGTATAATTTACTTCTTTTTTTAGCTTTTTTTCCATCTTTGAGAATTTTTCCTACAGTGATTTTTTGTAAAAGTATTACTTCCATCTATGTTATCATCTAGCTTTTCCCTAACTCCAATTAGCCTTAGGTTGGTCTTAGTGTTGTCTGGTAGCTGCTGGTCTTTCCTTGCCTTTTCTTTTGTGGTCATTTGCCACAATATGCTTCTGCATATTGCAAAATATGCTTCTGCATACTGAAATTTACCATGTGTCTTCAATTTCGCACTGACTGGTCTGTCCTGGCGCTCTTCCTGGGCTGGACACATGGGCCGCCCTGTTTGGCTAGGTGGGACGCTCAGTCCCATTGTCCTCCCTGGGCTGGGTGCACAGCCCTAGCCTGTGGCTGGGGCCATGGCGTTCAGTGGGTTGGTTCATCCCACATTTCCCTTTCTCTTAAACCTTAGAAATTTTTATAAGTGACAGGTAAGCATTTCTTGTCAGTGAAAATATAAGCTAATATGTCCTGTTTCATCTAATCCTATTGTTAGACATTTTCCAATGACTACTGTAATACTTTTATTAGTAGCATTTCAAATTATCATTCATAAATTTTACTTTGTGCTTAATTATAGTTTTGTCTATGAAACCAGTTTCAAGTTTCACAATGCTGTCAAAATATAATCAAAGGAGGAAGGGATCTATTTTTTAATCATTTGAAAATGAATATGTTTTCTATATTCTTTTGGAACAAGTCATTAAATATTCATCTACCCCAGTTCTTTTGAACCCACATCTGGTCTAGCAGGCTTTCTCCATGAATCATGGAGAAACAGGGTAGAAATAAAATGGGTTTATAGACAGGGCAGAAATAGAATGGGTTAACCAGCAGGAGAACCAGTATTCCCATTATGCTATTTCTTTACCAGTGAATTCCCACCTAGCATCAAAATTCCTGTGTGACAAGTGCATGTGGATAAAGAATAACTGTTTGATAGCCAAGGCATGAAGTATCTATTTGTGAGACTCAGCCTCATTCGAGCCTTTTATGAGCAGATTTGAGATATTTTATGTTGTGAGTCTTCCTCTTCCTGGAAATATTTTTCTGGTGATTTAGGAGGAAGTGACTTTTGAGGATGTGGCTGTGAACTTCACCATAGAGGAGTGGGCTTTGTTGAATTCATCCCAGAAGAAGCTCTACAGAGATGTAATGTGGGAAAACTTTAGGAATGTGTCTATTATAGGTAAGGAAGATACCATTTCTCATTTATGCAATTAGAGAGAATTGATTATTGTTCATCAGTGCAGTTTACTTTGTTGGAATATGGAAATATTTTGATGAATCTTCTGGGCATGGTCACACTAGACCATAAATCTAACTGGAAGCAAATAATTATTATTTAATGTAGTAACTCCATTACATTTCTTCTACGCTTTAGGAAGAAACTGGGATGACCAGCAAATTGAAGATGAGTACCAAAATTACAGGAAAAATCCAAGGTAATTTGCACTCACAAGAATGTTCCTCAGAGGTCATAAATATTTGTTTTTGTTTTTTTTTGTTTTTTTTTTTTTTTGTTTTGTTTTTTTGAGACAGGGTCTCACTATGTAGTTGAGACTGACCTGGAACTCACTGTGTAGCCCAGGCTGGTCTCGAACTCACAGTGATCCTCCTGCCTCAGCCTCCCGAGTGCTGGGATTACAGGCGTGCGCCACCACACCCAGCCATAAATATTAAAACCAAGCAAACTACAGAAATAAGGCCATGTTCACAAAAATACAGGCATGGTGGCATGTTCCAGTAATATCAGCACTTGGGTGACTGAGGCAGGAGAATGGCAAGGAGTTCAAGGTTTGCCTGTGCTACATAGGGAGCTTAAGCTCGACCTGAACTACATAGATAGACCTTGTTTCAAAAATCAAATGAACAAACAAAATGAGCCCATTTCAAATTTCTTTAATTGCACAAAATTTCTCCAAAGTTGCATACGTTTCATATCTAGAATCTGATAAAATGTGAAATTTCTCAATATGTGATGTGTAGGCAATACCAACATTATGCCACAAGTGACATTATATAATAAATAATAATAAGCTATTTTCCATGCTCTAAATTATAAAATTGCTATTTGAAATTGAATGTAGGCATTGATTAAAGGTATATATTAAAAAGTTTGTGTTTAGTTGAGATCCAAGTTCAGTATTTCTAATTACATATATATTTTTTCAAAAGATTGCTTTTTTAATCTGATTATGTCAGTAATGCTATATGTATTTAAATGTGTTATACACATGAAATATTTGCAACATTGGAAACCTTGAACTACTCAAAATCCAAATGAATACTGTTTTAGCAATACCTGTTCACAAGCAATCCTCAAAAGCATTTAGTCTATTTATGTTCTTATTAGAAAGCATCTCCACATACTGTTGGTGGGAATGTCATTATATTATAACATCTATGGAAATTTGTTCCTGAAAAAATTAAAAATAGAAATTCCATTTGATCCAGCTATACCTTACTGTGTATATTCCCCCAAAGTTTAATTAATAATACACTGACACATGCATAACCATGTTTGTAGCAGTAAAGCTTATAAAAGTGAAGCTCTGGAAACAGCCTAGATGCTCATTTATGGTTGAATAGAAAAGAAAAATGGGACGGTCTGAGCAGAGTGGAGCATACTAGGAAGCTGAGGGACATTCATGCTCAGCCTGAGCAGTTTAATGATTGATGAGACTTAGTCTCATAGTAAAGGATAAATAATTGTGAGAATGTAGCTCAGTGCTAAAACCCTGGGTTTAATCTACAGCACTGAAAATGATATGAGTGCATATACAATGGAATGATATTCATTCACCAAGGAGAATACAATGATGTTATTTTCCCAAAAATGGATGGATCTGGAACCCATATTGTATTAAATAAGATAGACACAGAAAGTACATATTACATGTTGTATTTTGTATGGGAAATGCAAGATATGGATTAAGTAAAATTAAAGACAGATGGTAGAAAAAAAGACAGGTATTTTGGAGAGGGTGAAGAGGCTCAGCGGAAGGGGCAGGGGTAGAGTCATAGAGGAAAAGGGTTTGAAAAATAATCAACATATAGTATACTTTTGTACCAATTGTTCACAATGAAAGTAACTGGTATGTATTGCAAAGTGAGTACTGTTTTGGTAAAATCTGTTTCCAAGCCACCATCCAGAGCATACAGTAAATTCATGATAAAACCTGCTTGGGGACATCAAATCAGATATCCTCCTTGTAAACCATTGATATAAAGACACTTTTAAATGTGACTGGTTGTTTTGTTATTTTTTTCTTTGACAGAGCTGCAGAGGTAGATAGATACCATCAAGATAAATTATGGTATGAACATGGAGAAATGGTTTTTATGGCTCTTGATACAAATCTCCACGTGAAACTGCTTGGTAAAAAATCAGGTGAAAGCTTTGCATTTGGAAGCCCTCTGATTAACCCTTCATCAGCAACCATGCTCCACATACATAACAGTGGGCTTAACTCATATGAGCTCCACAGATTTGACCAAAAGCTTACTAAGTGTAACAGACATGGGAAAACCTCCACTGACTTTCAGTCCTTTCAGAAACACGAAAAGGCAAATCCTGAAGAAAAACCCTATGGATGTAAGCAGTGTGGAAAATCTTACTCTGATTACACTGAAGGAAATGATGCTAAAGAGAAATCCTTTCTTTATAAGCAAGATATGAGAGCCTTCAGTACATCTAACCATGTTCAAATCCAGGAAAGAGATCATAGTAGGGCGAATACCTATATATGTACACAGTGTGGAAAAGGTTTGAATTCTCAACATGATGTTGAGAAACATGAAAGAGCTCACAGGGGGATAGAATCCTATGTATATAAACAGTGTTGGAAATCCTTAAATAATAACACTTCATCTAGAAATCATGAAAGAACTCACATTGGGGGAAAACCCTACATATGTAAGCAGTCTGGGAAAGCATTCAGCACACAGAATGGTTGTCAAAAGCATGAACAGACTCACATTGTGGAGAAATCCTTTGTTTGCAAGCAATGTGAAAAAGCTTTCAGCAAGCAGAGATATTGTCAAAGACATGAACAAACTCACACTGGGGAGAAACCCTATGAATGTAAGCAGTGTGGGAAGGCTTTCAGGACAAACAGTAATTATCAAATACATGAAAGAACTCACACTGGGGAGAAGCCCTATATATGTAAGCAGTGTGGGAAAGCTTTCAGGACACACTTTAATTGTAAGGAACATGAACGAACTCATACTGGGGAGAAGCCCTATATGTGTAAGCAATGTGGGAAAGCTTTTAGCACAAACAGTAATTGTCAAATTCATGAACGGACTCACACTGGAGAGAAACCCTATGTATGTAAACAGTGTGGGAAAGCTTTCAGCACACACAGTTACTGTCAAATACATGAAAGGACTCACACCGGGGAGAAACCCTATGTATGTAAGCAATGTGGGAAAGCTTTCAAGACACGGAGTAATTGTAAAATACATGAAAGGACTCACACTGGGGAGAAACCCTATGTATGTAAGCAATGTGGGAAAGCTTTCGTCACATACAGTTACTGTCAAAGACATGAACGAACTCACCTTGGGAAGAAACCTTATGTATGTAACCAGTGTGGGAAAGCTTTCAGGACACACTTTAATTGTAAGGAACACGAAAGGATTCACACTGGGGAAAAACCTTATGCATGTAAACAATGTGGGAAAGCTTTCAGGACACAGAGGCATCATAAAATACATGGAAGAATTCATACTGGTGAAAAACCCTATGCATGTAAGCATTGTGGGAAAGCTTTTGTAGCACAGAGGCAGTGTAAAAAACATGAAAGGACTCATACTGGGGAGAAACCTTATGTATGTAACCAATGTGGGAAAGCTTTCAGTTGGCAGTATATATATAAAATACATGAGAAAACTCACACTGGTGAGAAACCCTATATATGTAAGCAATGTGGGAAAGCTTTCACCCTGCAGAGTTACTGTCAAAGACATGAAAAAACTCACACTGGGGAGAAACCCTATGTATGTAAGCAGTGTGGAAAAGCTTTTACCAGACACAGTCATTGTCAAAGACATGAAAGGTCTCACACTGGGGAGAAACCTTATGTGTGTAGCCACTGTGGGAAAGCTTTCAGCAGGCACAGTTCTTGTCAAATACATGAACAAAATCACACTAGAGAGAAACCCTATATATGTAAGCAATGTGGTAAAGCTTTCAGCTCACACAGGTATTTTCAAAAACATGAACAAACTCACACTGGAGAGAAACCCTATGTATGTAAGCAATGTGGTAAAGCTTTCAGCACACACAATTGTCAGATACATGAAAGGAACTTTACTGGGGAGGAAACCTGATGTGTTTAAACAATGTGGGAAAGCTTTCAAGACACAGAGTAATTGTAAAATGCATGAAAAGACTCACACTGGAGAAAAACCATGTCAATGTAAGCAGTGGGGCAAAGCTTTTATCAGGCACAGTTTTCAAAAACATGAAAGGTCACAAATTGGACCCTGTGTATGAAAATGATATTGGAAAACTTGCAGCACACAAAAGGATTGTCAAGGCATGAAAGAAATCATAGTGCAGAAACCCTGTTATGTAAGTATATGGAAAAGCCTTTCAGTTACTGTAGTAATCACCATGAGATTAAGAAATTAAAAGAAAATTAACTTAGAATATATAAAGTGACTGGCACTGACATGAAAGGACAGTGCAGAGGAAGCCCATGTAATAAAATCTTTCAGTACACAGGTATTATTACATACCTGAAAGAATGCATATAACACAGAATCTGAACATATGAGCAATGTAGGAAATGTTTTACTTTTCTCAATGCATTGAGTTCCATGAAAGAATTTATGAGAGGGAAGTGATATGTATGCAACAAATATGAAAGAATTTTGACTGAAGAGAAAGCCTATATAAATAATCTATGAGAACTTTTTATGATTCTCATACCATCACAAAACATGCACAAACTCAAAATGAGATTTAGTAAATACCAAATGTGAGCTAATAATGAGTGTGACAGAGACAGATGTGTTAAGGATCAGATACACTGTTTCAAAGTTTTGGAGTAATGCACAGATGAGGCTGGAAAGTGCATATTACATGCAGAATAACAAAGCCCCTGTCAACCAAGTCTTCAGTACATAGCTTTAAGGGACATTTTTTTATGCAAACCATTGCCTTAGTTGTATAGGTAAAGTTAAGTAAGCCTGATCATATTTATTTTTCGTATCTTAAATTGACAATTTTAAAGAAGCAGAGGGTTTAGTGACTGTTACCATATGTTTGGGCGGTGAAGTTGAGAGATGTTAATGAAAAAGCACAGTGTTTCTCTAGAATACAAAATGGCACAGATCCTACAGGGACTGCAGTGATTGTGGCAGTGCCAAGTAGAATTTGGTAAAGGTTGTTTTAATGTTTCTCCATATATCCAAAAGATAATTGTTTAGATGATGCAAATTCTACCTATAATATAAACAACAATAAATTGCATTTTACACTTTCAGTACATGATTTTGTTATTTTTGTTTTATGAAATGAATACAATTAAATGTAGTAAATATAACATGAGTATAGTTTCATGATTTGTCCACAGATTCTCCTCTCATCAATTTTTCCAAATATAATTTAGTTTGTAATGTATTTTTGAAAGCATTCAGTATTTTAGTGAAACTTATTCTTAGTTTATTGGAAATGTGGTTTTGGAAATGTGGTTTTTTAAATGTGGTTTTTGAGGATATAATTTGGAAACAGTTTATATTGTTATGAGTTCATATTTTAAAAAGTTATATATATCAGAAAACCTACATTTTAAAAAGCACGTAAGCTTGTTTGATTTAAGTCACTTACCATTTTGGATTCAAAGTGTAAGCATTTTTCTGCAAATGTCTTGAATTTATTTTGGTTTGTTGTGTAGAAGTATTCCACTCTGTACCATATTTTCTTCATTCTTCTGTGAATAGACATATAAAAGGAAAGACATAACTTTTTGGAAAATAGGAATGAGATTAGGAGGCCAAGAATGGGAAGAAGGGGTAAAAACATGTCACCTTTACCCTGGGAATTAGGTTCTAAAACATGTATTTTGGGGAAACTAGACATTCAGAATACAAATCATTGTATGATTATATTGTGTGATGAGCAGTGTAGTGGATTGAATGAGGCATCAATGTAACCTCCACCAAGTTTCTATGCTGATAAACAACACACACTTAGAAGTACTTTGAGGACAAAAATTTCAGTGATCTTTTTCAATTAGAATTTAGAAGAAATAATGCAATGATAGATGTCATGAACTGAATCAGGCACAAAGTATTTCTGAAGGAAAGGTAAGTTTGATCACTATTTTGAGATCCTGAAAATAAATGCTAAAAGTAAATGTCAGTGCTAGGGATTTACCTCAGTGGTGCCACCATCTGCCCGCAACCACAAAGTCCTGAGTTTATTCCCTGGTAACAAAAAAGAAGAAAAAAAAGTAAATGACAGGAATGTTTTCCAGGCTCATGAAACAATTTCACATGTTATCAGTGCCTGATGCTTCTTGAGAAGATTACGCTCTTACAAGCATAGCTGAAAATTGTCACAGATGACAAAAAGAATGTTGAAGATGCAGTTTCTGAGATCATCAGAGGATCAGCATAGAATTTGCAGTGTGATAGCAAATTTCAATTTCACAAACTCAGGGCAGCACAACGTATTTCCAAGTACAGTTCATTTCCCTACTTGCCACTTCTTTCCCAAAAAGGACAGGCATTTCAGCAGGGTCACATCTTGTCTGTCACTTAGCTCTTAATACCTGACTTCTATCAAACCCACTCCATTAACTTCTCCACCAATGAGTTCTACTTGTCAATTTCCACCTTCCCCTACCACCTTACAGCTTTAATGTAGTAATGTCGTCTTCCTCTTTCAAAATGAAAACATCCTATTATATTTTTAAGGTGCTCCTTTGGCATCTCTGGCCCCTTTGCATCTTTCAGAGTTAATTTGTGGTGTGCGTGCCGAAGGCCTGAATTATTTCTTTCTGAAGCATGTCAGAATGTCAAGTCTGCATCCAATGCCCTGTAAACATACACTTAGAAGGTGACTGCAGCCAATATGCAAGTCTTTGTCCATGCATTCATTATATTTTGAATCTTTTTAAGAACCTTTTGAGGCACAGTCCTGGTTCACTTTGGTTTTACTGAAAGAGCACCTGAAGATAGAGAAATTTTAAAGTATCTGAAGTTCTCATAAGCTTCGGTTACTGTGGAGAAGGTAAAATATATGTGTATATTGTAATACGGCATTTGATCCCTATAGTGCACTGTCTGTGCTGCCTGGGAGATTGAATTCTTTAATATATCATTCGTCCCTAAAGAGTTTCTATGCACTCAACTGCAACATGCTGTCAAGTCCATACTCCTAAGATGCTGCTTTGTTAACCTTCTGGAACGGGAATGCTGGCTTCCTTATTGTTGTCCAGAATATGAGTGCTTTCATGTATTATCTGTTTCTATAGCAGAGTGTCACACATAAATAACTAAAAGACTCTAAATATATTCTCATTTTCAGGTTGGGAATTCCAAGAGCATGGCACAAAAATGTAGTGAGGTCCTCTGTTTTACACAGTACAGTGTTGAGGGGCAGGTAAGCATATGTGAGATAAAAAGCAAGGGAAGCTGAGCTGATGCTGAGAACAAGCCATTCTCATATAGATAACATTGCACTCATCAGGGGAAAACACTCGAAGCTCATCACGTTTTAGTGGATCCTTAGCTCAACTGTCCTCATTAGATATTCAGTTTGCACCATAGGAGTTTTAGGGAATATACTAAATGTCACAGTGGGTTACTGATTACAAATCTCAGACTTGAACCAGTGGGAAATCCACAAAACAAGGAGGTCCACAAGTAACCTTGAATTTCCATGTTAGTAGAGACCAAAATCTCAGTGGGCAGTGTCCATTTATTGCTTTATTCTCAGTAGATTGCATGGCAGTCTGATCCAATGGGATCCACTCCTTTAGAATGTGTTGCTCTTATTAAATGTTTCTCATATGAACATATCCAACATTCAAAGCAATAATGATGAAAAGAACCGATATAGCCTGGGAATATTCAAAAGAGTTGTCTAAAGAATGCAGAGCCTGGGCTGGGGATTTAGCTCAGCAGTTTGGTGGCCTGCTTGCAAGTACAAGGACCTGAGTTCAATCCCCGGTACCCCCCCACAAAAAAAAAGAATGCAGAGCCTTTCTTTCATAGGCTGACATGCATCTGACTGGGAATGCATGCAACATATGCTTTGATTACTAAGGCAGTTGTATAAAGCCCTTGACAGATGTAAGTACTCTTGATAGAAGACTGTTACAGGGAGAGCAGTATCATGGAGAGCATTACTGGAGAGAAAATGGATGGAGTCAATTCTGTGCACCTTAATGTATTCCTTAGTACACTTTTCACTGAAGCATTTGGGTGTAATTCTGCTCCCTTCTGCCACTGTTGTGTCTTTCTCTGGCCCACGTGCCATGAGTCATGAATTGTTACTCTGTCATCTGGTCTTTCACTCTATCTCCATTTATTCTGAAAAGGAGAATCTTTTGTGACTTGATCTTATCATGTCCAAAATGCACTCATGTTATTATGGATCTTCGTGTCATTACGAGATGTCTTGGTATATATGCCTATCTGCTGGTTGAATTGAAATATTAGAAAGCAGAGGAGAGGTTCTGGCTCATTTTTGACTTCTGTGAAACATCTTTACGCTCGCTGCTTACTGAGGATTGAAGAGTAAATGTTGGATTGCTGTAGAAAGGGTGATAGGAATGGAGAATAGTAGTGGGAAATGGCTTCACTGATGGACCAAAAATAGGCAACATGTTACCTGGCCTATTTACAATGTCCAGATACCTTCATATCCTGAAGGTTAAATGAAGTGACAATTGAGAGGTAGCAAAAGTGTCACTTTCCAGATACACAAAGCTGTCTCCAGAGTCATACCGATGCCCACAGTTAAAGAGACTGTAATACACAAATGGGAAAAAAAAACCACAACAATTTGCCCATTTAGAGGTGGTGCCTAGGTGATGGTAACGTGCTTTTAATCTAAGGGGCCTGTGCCTGATTACTTCCTCTTTCTGACCCTCAGCTTTTTCTACTTTAGAGCAAGTAAGGTTGGTCAGATGAACACTCTGAGATGTTAGCTGATATTAGAATCCTCTTTGGAATCTTAAGTGTCCAAGGAACTAGACTCTTACATTGGTGATAGAAGGCCAGGTGTGCTACCCTTGAGTCAAAAATAAGTTCTTTCTTTACCTTACAGTTACCTGTACTTTCTGACAGAGAAGCCTGGGAAGGCTAAAAATGCCTTCATATTGATGACTATGTATACATTCTCCACTGTGATTAGTTAATTCAGTATCATATGTACAAGAAGAATTTGGTGTGTTTGGTGACTCTGGGGTCCACCCTCCTGCCTGTCTCCATGTCGCTTCTAAGCAAAGCCTTTGGTGGTTATGCCGTGTAGCCTTTGTGTGACAGAGCCATCGATAAAGGGTGAGCTCATTTTTTTTAAAGCAACAATTTGCAATTCTTGTAAGCTCTCGTCACACTTCTGCTGAGATGAGAAAATATACACGAGGTTTGTTATGTTTCCCTCAAAAAAAGAAAAAAGGCAGGAAAGTAGAGACCTTCCTGAAACTTAGGGGAATTGAACTAGACCCCTTCTTTACTTCTACAATCAGGGTTCAACTTACATGGTGGCAAAGCCTTTTACCTAGGCTTGTCAAAGCACAAGAGAGATAATACTCTTACACCCTCATAGTCTACACACAAATTTGAAGGGTGCCATCTCCCCATGCTCAGCATGCCTGTATGCCTTTGCTTCAAACTATAGTCTATTATCAATGCCAGTCCATCACTGCCTGGTAGTCTATGTAGTTCAAACCATTTCAGGTAAAATGCCACCTGCTCTATGGTCCTAGTCAGTTGCACACACCCTTTTATTTTTTTATGACATCCTACACTCATCTGTTTTCCATTTGAATCATCACAGCAATAGTCTCATTTGTTATGAAAATATTGAAAATGCTTGTAATTATCTTGACCCTGTGTGGTGATGGTACTTAATTCCCAACACTTTGACAACTCCGTGAGTGACTTGGGACGTGAAAAAGGGTCCATTATTGCTCCAGATAGACTTAGGAAGTCCAAATCTTAGGGATCACTTCTCCAAAGGGGACTTTTACATTTCCAAGGTCCATTCTAACCTGGTGGGCAAGGCTTCTATCCAAGCAGTAAAGATGTTAATGCATACAAGAAGGTGAGAATGGCCCTTACCTGCAGGCATATGGGTGAAGTCTACCTGCCAAACTTCTCCATGGGAGGACCTATACTTTTGCAGTGGTTTAGGTAATGGGGGAGGATGAGTCTGGGTATTGAGAGGCACATACAGGACATCTCTAAGACCTGCTTTACAATGTTATAGAATCCAGGCAGTTCAAAGAGTCTGTGCTACAAAGGTTGTGACATGGCACTCTACATGGAAAGCACTAGTCTAGTTGGAAATT